TCTTAAAACAAGCCTTACTATTTGAAATCTGTTTTAAAACTATCTCCTATTAGTCATTTATTACATGTACAACCCAAATTCTGTGATCCGACTTGTCAGGTTTGCAAGCTGTCCATCCAGATAAGTAGTATGGGTATGAGACACAGCTTAAAAAACTACATACCAGACAAGAGGCATGATTACACTTTACCAGAAAGGCATGATCTTTTCTATCCCTCCGATTTAAAACCTTTAACAAAAAAACCTGGAAGACACTGCAGACAAAAGCTGACTTTAAAATTGTTTCAATAAAAAGCCAGAATGTCGATGACCCTTGTTGTTTGTCTACTTAAAGTTATAAAGATAAACAGAATTAAAAAATGTTTAGAAATTTTCCAGAAGTCCAATCTTCTTATTAAAAATGTACTTCACATGACAGTGGGGGGCTTTTGTGATTTTAGTGGTATTTCCCCGATGGCAGTCTGCAATAAGCACAATCGTCTGCGAAGCCTGTTAGAAACCTGCAGGCCTGTGTAGTCCAGGACGCAAGGACGCAGATAAAGCTGGACTCACTCACTCTCCACTGCAGCTCTGGCCAGCAAGCGGGTGCAAGCATTTCTGTCAACCTGACAGAGAACTGAAAATAACTACAGTTGCTGAATCTTAGCTTTTCTCTGATCATGTCAACCAATGTCACACATTTTTACCTACAGGCAGATATGTATGGGTGATTTAAGCACTTTGTTTCCATGTATCCTGCATCGTACTTGTACACGCAGTATAACTAACTGTCCTGTCTCTGGGTCCACTGTTGAAATATTTGCATTCCATGTAATATTAGTCCATAGCTCTAATGTTCATAGACTGAGTGTCTGCAGGCTGCCATTGGTTGGCTCCCTTTCTGCAGTCATGTCCTTTCTCTCTCTCATGTCTGTACACATGTCCAAAGGTATCCATCTTTCCACAGTCCCCATTTTGGTGTTGTACTGTCCGCTCACTGAAGATGGACATGCGGACAGGGCGGAACCTTCACAAGCTAATAAACTGCATCTTGTCCGGGTGCTGTGGGCTGGCTGCCCGCCTAGTACAGGGGTTGGGATTGGCTGCACAGGGTTTTAAGATGTAAGATAAAATTTTTGGGGCCAGTGGGTACCAAAACAGGGAGTGAAATATGGAGAAGGAGAAGAGGGGGATGGAGTTTCCTTTGAGCTCTGACAGTGTCCCCACAAATGCAACAGGGAAAAAGGAGGAAAAAACTGGAAGAGACGGAAAGGGCAGTACTGAGTGCCAGGACCAGGCTTGAGAGACAGCAGCACACTGAACTGCTAAAGTGGAGGGAGGGGAGTGAGAGGAAAAAAGAAAGGTGGCGTCAGTCCATCCTTGGGGGGTGATGCCACTTTAGACTGCTTGAATAGGGGGGGGGGGGACAGGGAGAAGAGAAGGGAAAGAAAGAGTGAATCGAGGAAGCGGGTGAGAGGACCGAGGAAAGAGAGAGTGTGAGAGGGAGGGAAGAGAGCAATGGGTTGGGCGAGAGGAGAGAATGAGAGATTGTTGGTTAGTACTCAGCCACAGCGGGCTCAGGGGAGCTCAGTGCCCCCAGGCCACTTTCGGCACACTGCAGGCCAAAGCATGCACTGCCCCTGTACCCCAACATGCAGCCTGAAACCCCTAAACTGACTCCCAATGCCATCATCCAGGGTGGTAGGGTCTGCTGGTCTTCATGTCAAACTTTTTTCAGTCAGTAACATTTTTATTGTAAAGCCTTCTACTACTGTTGATTTAGAATCTGCCAATCACTGGGCCTTCTAATTCATTCCACTGCAGGAGTTAGACACAGCCTGCTGAACCAGACAGGAAGGTGCAGTGATGGAGCTGCCCAGATCTAAAATATACTGTGAGTAATGGGCCCTGAATCAAGAGAACTAGAATTACTGGGGCAGTACAGGTATTTAAGGCTCAGTGAGTTGTATGTCCTAATACAAGTTTGGATAATTTGTTCTCAGTTAAAAAATGAATTGTGCAAACAATGTCATGGCCAGAAGCCCTCCAGGATCTGAGGCAGAAGCACTGTCCTAATCCACAGCAAGATGGCTTGTCGGTTTTCATCAGACCATGCTACAGAGGCCATCAGTCTATTCCACACAACGAGGCATGCACACACCACACACTGGCATACAGGCTTTAGGTACAAAGCCTGGCTGATGGCACCAGCAATCACAGGACTGAGTTCATGCTGCCTTAATGGCCATATAACCACATGCATAAAGTAGGCATGCAAGTCTACTGCACTAACAGCAGACATATTAATCTTGCCTCTCTGCACACACTGGAGCTGACAAGATGAGCAAGGACTGGCCTTAGAATTTAGAAGCTACTTCAGTCTCAAGTGGCTTAAAGTTACTTCAACTTTAACGCTTCATGTTCAAAGTAAAATAGCCACAGACGAGATTATAAATTCGAATTGCTAAATATCACACCAATCACCACTAAACCACTCAACTGTGGAATCAATCCACTCCACATGCAGTCCAAGAGAATCTACCCATTACACAGCACAAGGGCCCTAGGTTTGAGTCCATCTTTGGGCAACTGGCTGTGTGGGGTTTACATGTTCTAACTTTGTTTTTACGGGAGTGGTCACCGAGTTTCTTTCCATATCCAAAAGACACGAGGGTAAGAACTGACTGGCTATTCTCTACTATTCTGTCCTGCAGAGGAGGTGGAGGTTTATGGGGATTCCAAAGCTCCAATTCCCAATACAATCATCATTGGCTATGTCACTGGACACAGAATGCACCAGGTTGTAAGGCCTCCTCTGTTTTGTGGCTGTTCTGAAGTTCTGAAAGCATCTTATCCTGCTCAGACTGGAAGAAATTAAAAATATTTCCAGCATGGGGGACAGGTTGGCTAGTTTTTGTTTTGTATGGGTATTCAGTCTGGGTTTTCACATAGCTACAACAGTGTATGCAGAGGGCAGGTGGGGAAACTTATATATTCACCTCACCACAGCAACCATAATAATCCCCCCCCCCCTCCAAAAACATCAAATCCTTCAAACCCAAACCCCAGCGGGACACAGAGCTTGAGCAGAACTGAACAAAAGGGAAAATAAAAAATAAAACCGACCTCAAATGATGCCAAGCACACAATAACACACTGTGTCACACAAACCCATTCACAGACACGGGGCCTTTCTCCACCTTTCGTGTAACTGCCTCCATCCAGCAGCAATGGCTCTCTGGTTGAAACCTCTCCCCAATTCCCTGCACAGCTCACCTCCTTTCCTTCATACTCTACACTTAGGTGCACCTCAACACCAGTCCCTTCTACACACCTCCTTACGGGTCCAAATACTGAATTCTGGCACCACAGAGGTCAGTCACAGCTCACACACCAGGCTAACCCATACCCAGATGCTGTCTACACCGCACCTCTCTCAGTAGGGGCGATATAAAGACAAAGGATGCTGGAAGGTCTTGTGGTGTTTCTGCTGACAGACTGTGGGAAACCCATCATGAAGAACAAAGACGTAAGCTGCCAAAGGCCAAGATATTTGAGATTTGTTTTGAGGTTTCATTTCATAAACCATAAAGGATGACAAAGTGCTACAACTGTTTAGCAAGATTCCACTTGGGTCCACTGCAAAAAAGACAAAGCTCCTACACAACCTTAGTCTGTAGTGTTTGCTTCTGCCAACATGGAGAGAACACATGCAAGCGACATAGGTTTTTGTTTTTTCCTCTCACCCCAGTTGAGTTAATTCTATCAGGTTTACAAAGAAAATTATATAAATATTGTACTTGATCCTGTTACGGTAAAAACAAAACTCCACAGTGGAAGAGTCGCATTTTTGCATAGCAGATTGATTACAAGCAGAAATATTCTTTGGAAGAGTTTATATCAGGCAACACGTGCAAATCGGAAGGCCACGCTATGAATGAAATGTCATCATCGGCTGTCTTTAGTTCCTGGTGTTCAAGGGTCTTCATTGCAATACAACAGGAAATGGCAGAGGATTTGCTGGAGATGTTCGACATCTGATATTATAGCAATGACACAACCAACACCTCGACATGCAGTCTCCTCTCTGCGTCCCTCTTTGTGTTAGAATAGCACAAAGGCTTTGCTTTATATTTGCACTATTACACTGATGGAATGACACCATCAATCTCCGTCAGTGGGTCTAAGATCTAAGTATTCAGGCTTCCCAATTCTGGCATGATCATTTCTCAATTCTGTATGTAACATAATCCTAATGATCGGAACAAGAGGATTTACCAGTAGGACCCAAAAAGTAAGGAAAGTACACACCTTTCTGTGGGACTACTAGATTCATGTCTCAAACAGCACACAGAAATACAATAAGATGGTTATTACTGGAGTTATGTGAAAGCAATTCCAAATTATGTGAGAGGAAAATGAATCATTATCATCATTAAACCTTTCCCAACAGGCATGTACCAACACATTTTAAGGTTCCTTTGTTCATTAAAAACGAATCCAGATGTTGTCTGCCTTTAAAGACAGAAGAAATGTCCTTCTTGGAGACAAAAACCTGAAGAGGGGTATCCAAGATGAAAGTTATATAAAATTAAATTTAAATGTAGGAGAGGCAGTTGTATTGCTGGTATTGAGAAAATAAAATTGTTAACAAATGCAATCAAAACACTTCTGTCAATGAGACGAGCTTACTACTGAGTGACTGTTTTGGTGTGATGCGTGGCCCTACTTCTCTCTGAGAAGTCCCAGGGCTCTCCAGAACCCAATTTAGGAACCCCTTTCATAGCGGTTTCTGAAACGCCCATGAGATATCACAAACAGGCAGTACCCCAGGAACACAAACAAACAGGTCAGACACACGCACCAGATTCAGAAACTACAGAATTTAAAAGCTAGCAAAATTAAATTAAAAAATACAAAAACAAAACAACATAAGAGCAAGATGAAGACGGTGAACAGGAGTGTGTCCCCAGGGGTAATGGGTCAGAGGGGTCAGAGAAGGACTGTGGGATAGTTCTTACCAGATTTCTCTGCTTCCTGCTCTCCATTTTCCAACACAGGCTCTGCACCACCTGGACAAACAGATAGGACACACATTGCTGTGCATCATTCAGCAAACTCAGTGCCTCAAGGCAACGCCACCACAATGCACCTGAAGATGACCTGCACTGCCTCCCTCATTCTGATTCTTCTCATCTCTAACTACTGAACTGCAGCTAACCTCATTCACACTGCTTCTCTCTCTCCGGTTTCGAAACTAACAATATCAATTTCATACACTGCCTTCTGCCCAGACTCCTAGATTTAAACATAGTGCCTTCTCCGTCTGGGCCGTAAGCTCTAATCATTGTACCCACCCCCACTGCCTCTCTCTCCCCCACAGTCCCCAGCTCTAACAATTGTTCCTCCACATTCTGTCACTCTCTCTCCCATTACTCAGCTCTAACTGCCAGGCCAGTGTCCCCAAGTGCATGAAACACCCAACAGAAGCTGGTCACTGCTTTCTGTGCTGTAGGTAAAACCTAACTGACAGATTCTCATTTGAACTCTTGCCCACTGTACCTCATCCACCTTATCCCTTGCCTACATAAATCTCATGTTAATTCCTTTCCACCCTTTATAAATAATTGCTTCACTCAAATTCAATATTAATTTGAGAAATGTCTTTCTAGTAAAAAATGAATTCTGAAGACTTAATATAGAAAGCAATGTGAGGAAAAAGTGAAAAAAATCCAGATTGCACATTGCATCTCTTCTGTCCACTCATCAATATAATGCGTCAAGATGCCTTGCCACCCCAGTTCTAAGGCGCAGACGTTAGCATTTCTGGGGCCCTGGGTTCAATTTTACAACTAAGGTGCTGTCTGGGTGGAGTTTTATGTTCTTCACATTTTCACATGGGTCTCCTCCGGGTGCTCTGGTTATCTTCCACAATTCAAAGACATACTGGTAGGTCAACTGTCTTCTGGGAAAACTGGCCCTGGTGGTGGTGGTGCGAGTGTATATTGTCTGTGTTTGTGTCTGTGTCTGCCCCGTGATAGACCTGTGTCCGCTCAGGGTGTACCCTGCCTTGAGTTCGTTCTTTGCTGGGATAGGCTCCAGTTCCCCCTTAACCCTGTAGTGGATAAAGCAGTTAGAAAATGGATGGATGGAAAATACAACTGAATTTCTTTAATCACACCTGGAATAATTACAGTTTAAGCCTTGACATCATAAAAAGATAAAGCTACAGAGAAACCCTGGAAACCAGCAATCAGACTTTTCTAAAGGATTAAGGGCATCTGTGATAAGGGCAGAGAGAAGCCTTTCATGTTCTAAAAGGAATTAAAATTGGTCTCAGTTACTTTAATTTTAGTTCAGCAAGCAGAACATCAGCACCACAGTTATTTCTCAAATAAAGCAATGGCTACTTTTGTGAAAAATTGCACACTAAACAAAATATGTGACTATTTCCTATGAATTGTCTAAAGACAGACTATCTTTCTATGTAGAATGACAGTTTTATGTCAAGGATTTAAGCTTCTTTTCTCATGTGCAGGATTTCCATATTTACTTGCTGAAGCACTGATATCGCACGCTGCTATAACTATCACTTTTCACACATTTTCACTCATGATAATAATAATATAAAGGCATAATAATGAAAGGTAAGCAATGGACTGAGAATGACAATGATACTTCATGTTCATCAGCTCATGCATGGTCCCACCATTTCCACCACCAGATTTTTTGCATACTATTACGGGGGTGCCTGCTTTGTGTGAAAAAATGTTTCATGGCAAACCAAGTGCATGTTATTCAAGATAATGCAGTATTGACAGGTTAGGCTCTGCAATGACTATTGTGTTTTTAATTCTTACACAAAATGACTAATGCTTGGATAAGTTACCAATAGCAGAGGCTAAAATGCTGGGATATTTCCAAATCTGGTTAAATTATGTGATACTTAATAGGATTTCTATAATACTTATAGGAACAGAGCTCAAAAAGATCATTAAATCATGGTTAATAAATGACCAATATCTACAGGCTTCTACACTTGTAATTTTTATCTTGCCATTTACATTAAGCAGATTAATTCACAGTGATGTTTTGACTTTCTTTTACCACATGACCAGCACGTTTACTTGCAGCTCTCTGTCAAGACATCATGGTTCAAAAGTGCAAAACAAGGTGAGAGTCAGGGCAAAAATGAAAAATACCAGAAGAGCGACTGTACTCTCGATCTCTTTGGGCAATTTCTTAACTGAGAAATGATAACCATGATGGATTTTGCCCCAGGTTATAAAACCAACTTATTGATTTTTAGAGGGTTTTTTTTATCAGTTTTTCAGCTTATCCTCCTTAAATGCAGCATTGTATCAAAGAAGCAGCACTTCAAAGAAGTATCAGTCTAAGAGCCATTCCTGTAGAGTATCAAGGAAATGTTTGTGAAGGCCCTAGTTTGGGCCATATTCCTGTATATTTTAAATACAAGAAAATCTCATTAGATTACAAAATTACATAAGAGAACAAAAGTATATCACAAACGATATGGAATATATTTAGATTCAACAAAATGATCCAACAGTCAATATCATTGTGTGTTACTAAGTAATTCTGAATTATATTACAAAATAATTATGAAGATATAATTACATTTTAGTTTTAAAATACATGAATACAGCCCAACCTATTTACAAACCTTTTCTCGGTAGTGTACATGACTTCCACTGAAATTTTCAGAAACAGCAGATGGGGATTCTTGGATCAACACACTTAAGTCAATAATATCCTATTTTATTAAAACAAACTCTGATAGGCTAAATAGGCTGTTCTCATCACCCAGTGGTTCATGCCCTTATCACACCCTTCAAAATTAATCACACACTTTCACTGGACAGCGCTCAAGGAAAAACCAGTCACATCTTCCATGTGCACACCTGTCCCACTTACCCTTGCTCTTGCCCTCAGGCGCATTGTCGTCCTTGTCCAGCAGAGGGTGATAGTCAGTCCTGCCCACAGTCTCGCCCACCTCATCCTCGAAGCTCTGTGCCTCCAGTGATGCCACAAAGTCTTTTTCCACTAGCGCCTCGGAGCCTGCAGGGGGAGCACTGTCGCTCAGGGCATCACTCAGACTGAGGTCTGCCATTGTCCTGCAAGGACACAGTGCACAGCTGTATTACTCTCATTGTGGAAAGAGGAAGTTCAAAAAATAATTTTATAAAAATTGAAAGCATCACAGTAAGCAGGATGTAAAGAGAAAATAATAATTTAAGAGTAAGATAGCAGACGTCAGCACATTTCAGCGACCCTTGAACCTTGCCTCTTGCCACACAAGGCAAAGATATTTAAATAAGACTCTGCACTTCAATGAATGCGAAAATACACTTTCATTACTGCCGACCCAATTCAACCATTACATAAGATCTCAAGAACACATTGACACAGGCAGTGTTGCACAGATTTTAAAAACAGCAGCTGAGGCAAGCTTGTTCCCTTTGGTGTTCCGAAGTAGGGACATTTTCAGAAAATCAGAGAATCACTAGAGGTACTCAGATACAGAGAGAGCCTCTAATTATGTTTATTAATGCAATATGCTGATGTTGGCAGTATAGCACACTGAAAACAACCCATGTGAGACAATGACCCACTTTAGAATCTCATCAACTTTTCATGGGATTGGACTACAGCTCCACATATCTCCAATAGGACACAGGCTGTTTTAGCTGATCAGCAATGTGTCTCTGTGCATAAGTGTTTCATTACGTAAGCACACCACTTCTGCAGGTCAATGCCCAAAGAATGGAGAAAGGGGACAGTACTACCATTCACCTATGACTGAGCATCTGTAATGACTTCAAAGGTTATGGTGTTTCCTTCAGATTTACAATATTCTATCATTGTTGCTATTTTATTTACATTTTATTTGTTTGGGTCAATAAGGGTCAGCCATCATACTGTTTTTGTAAAAGTTAGGTATTTTGGCAAAAAAAAACAAAAAAGGTCATATCTGGTAAGCCTTATTAACACCATTGTAACATTTACTGAAATTAAACATCAGGGTAACAGCTGGAATTGTTCTTCACATCATCCTGATGTGCAATCCAGTGCCAGTTTCACAAGAAACAATTCTGGTGTGAACCTCATCAGAGTATCAGAGCCTCAACTGACTGAACCAACACAACTCACTGTAACTGCACAGTAGACCCACAGGGGGAGCTGTATTATTAGGGCTAACTAAGAGAAGTGCTCCCTGTCCTAATCAACAGTTTATCTGTTCAAAGCTGACAAAAAAAGGATTTCACGTAAGCTGCACTCTTCCAGAAAACCCTTAAAGAAGTGGTTCACTTAATCATTTCTATAGAGGTAGTACAATATGCATATGACACAGGCAGGGTCTAACAGATATCTGTATATCATCTATCTAACCCATCTCAACCTCCGACCATCTCTCTAACCCATCTCAACCTCTGACCCCCTCCCAGAAGCTCCCCACCTCTCTTCACCACTTTCCCTATTGTACCCTACTCTCCTCATCACCCTTGTCCCTTACTTTCGTTTCGCAGTGGGGAGGTTCTGTGCTAACTCTATGCCTTTCACTCTTGCACTCTCAGTTCTTCACTTCTCTTCCCTCCTTCTCAGGGCTGCTGGAGGAAACGTACAATTCCATAGTCATCAAAGTCTCAATGCCATTCTTAAACATGTCACTGGTCTTTTTATCCCAAATGTCAAACCAGGCTTGTAGGAAACAGAAGTCGTTTTAAAACACCTCGTTTATATGGGTAGAAGGTGAAAATCCTGTTCTTGAGATCCTACAAATATGAGTTAAAATGCAAATTAATTTGTTTGCCATTTAAAAGTTGCAATCTCCGGAGCAGCTATTTAAACCAAGTCTGGCCAACCCAGTTGCTAGAAAGCCACCTTCCAACAGGTTGAAATCACAGGCTAAATTCTGAAACTCAAACTAGTGGTTAAGTGTCATTAGCTTTCTGTAACTGGTGTTTTCCCAAATGTGATGAACAACTGACACGAGAGGGTGCATCCTTAAGTTGGAAAAGATTCCCCGCATGTCCCTCGGAACTGTGAGGTTTGGTGTGGGAACCATGGGCTCACTGTTCTGACTACTTATTAACAGTAAGTCAGGTAAAAGCAGAGATTTTAGTGTAAAAACGTAAGACTCTCTAACATACCACCTGAATGTACAAGGGCCATACTGGTCTAACCAAGCTAATGGCGAGGAAATGCAAAATGAGAAGGTTACAAAAAAATAATACATTGTCAATAATTTAGAAGGACTAGGGAAATTATTTCTCAAAGCAAATTAAAACTGATCGGGAACAAAACCTTAACTGGCACCTGGACCAGGTACTCTTAAAGTAGCCAATGCTAAACCCATCCAAAATTATTGTTTATTATTATTAATGTATTTGCTCTGTTTGTTGTAATTGTTGATCAAAGAGCAGAACAAGCTGTTTCAGGGCTTATGAGGCCATTGTTGATCCTCTGTGCTCCGCTGCTACCTGGGCAGGTCATTGTCAGTATAAAAATGATAAAACTTGTCTGCTATTAGCTGGACAGGTGTTAGAAGTGGTTGAAATAGTAATATGAAGCACCTTGTCCTATAGGTCTTTTTTTCCTCTTCCTTTTCATTTTTTGGTTTCTTGCCCATCGTCACTCTCAGTTCATCTCTCTCTCACCACATTTCCATATTAATGTCGTACGGTATCTAATTCCTGTTCTCCATCTCAAAAGAAGTGAGGCTTCAATAACTTAATAGACAAATAACTGTGGTCATGCAAAGGCTAAGTCAGTGTTGTAAATGTTCTATATGCATATGCATATGCATATGCATATATGCTTCGGTGTTACTGAAGCCTATTTTAATTCATTTGTCATTGCTGCTGTGCCCAGTCAGCACCAGGCCTTTTATGGAAGCTCTTGCAATACTCTGGTACAGTACGGTTTTGTTGCACCTCTCTCTCCCTGGCCATGCTTCTCAGCAAAGCCTCCATCTCCCCCCAGTGGAGAAGAGGCTTACAGCAGGCCGAGAGGAAGGAAGGATTTCAAGGGGGAGGACAGAAACAATAAGAGAGACAGAGGGTACTGGCAGAAAGGGGTGGGGGATTTGACGCCTTTAAGTCATATATTTCGTGGCCAGCAGCCATCTCACCCTGCAACTTTCAACTGGCAACCCACTGAAGCTAAGCAGGTGTGAGCCTGGTCAGTACCTGGATGGGAGACCTCCAGGGAAAAACTAAGGTTGCTGCTGGAAGAGGTGTTAGTGGGGCCAGCAGGGGGCGCTCACCCTATAGTCCATGTGGGTCCTAATGCCCCAGTATAGTGATGGGGACACTATACTATAAACAAGTGCCGTCTTTTGGATGAGACATAAAACCGAGGTCCTGGCTCTCATTAAAATCCCAGGGTGTTTCTCAAAAAGAGTAGGGGTGTAACCCAGGCGTCCTGGCCAAATTTCCCATGCTTCCTAATAATCCCCCTCTATGAATTGGCTAGATTACTTTGTTCTCCTCCCCCCCTCTGACGGCAGGCAGAGCGACGCGCCGGTTGGAGTATTTCTTGGTTGCATTTAATGGCAACGTCAGCTCAAAGATTTGGTTCAAACCACCAAATGGACCCTGCTGATGCGGGATTAACGCTAGGATGAGTGAGAAGTCATCTATTTCGTGAACAATCAATTCAACTTGCAATTTGTGTTTTGATGTCATGACAATATTGAAGAACAGACGCAAAATAGGCTCCTTCAGTCTTGTGCAAACAGTTTCCAGTGAAGGAAATGGCATCAGGATTTTCTCAAGAGAATAAAAGGTTCCACCCAAAGCAAAAAACACGAATGAATGCGGAGAGTTCAATATAGAAAACACAAACTGATGCCAAATGATGAGAGAAGCAAACTGCTTTTAGCTTATAAAGAATTCAAATGCTGAAAATGTTCCATTAAGTAACTATGCATTCTAAATTATTAATACATGGGTTGTTGTACTAATTTGCTTGTTCAGTAATAGATCTTTTTGTACGTTACTGAAAATGGATTCATCCGTGCAAGTAGCAAACATACTGTGATTAACTGGATGATGGAAAAAAGTATTGACACCCTCAGTTTGATCTAAACTTAAATGTCCAAACTCAGTTCAGCCAATTTACCAGGAATCAGTATTCAGTAAATTAAACTTAAATACTATGAGAAAGGAACCTCCTAACTTTCACACTGTCATGTCTACAACAGTTACCCTTGGATCTACAAACTGAAGCAAAGTGCTTCAGGCCGAACATAAAGCCACAAACGGCAGGTTGGTTTCCTAAGAGACACCCCTCACACGACCAAACAGAGCTTTTAAAACCACAGAAACGCATGGCTTTTAAACAGTAAAGGAGAGAGCTGATGTGCTCAGGCTGTGCCCAGACACAGAACAGAATGCGTAGGGCAAAAAGGCCAGCCTGTGCCAGAGCAGGAATGTACCACACAGCAGGAAAGAGAGGAAATAAACAGCTAATGATGAATTATTCTCATTGTTTTGAGTGTTCGGTCAGCACAGCATAGTGTGAAGGTTAGAACTAGAATAAATAGAAGTACAATACGGCAAACCTCATTAAAAGTGCAGTGAGTACACATCTCTCAGGCCTGCTGCAAATTCATAGAATGAAAGTAACATTTCTATGCACTACTGTACCATGTATTATCAAACTCACAGTCCTGACCTCAAGTAAATGTTACAATACTTATACCCATCTCTCAGCACAGAGAGATACGATACTGTCTGGATTATCTCCTTTCTCAATTTCAAACTCAATTGCAGAACTCTGATCATGACAAAGTGCATCAAAACAAAATCAATTGTAACTCAAGTTCAAAAGACAATAAAAGTGTCAAAGATATTCAGAGCAACTGACAGAGCCAATACAGAACTCTGACATGTATTTCAGAGCAGACATGAGTGAACTCTCGCTGTCCTGTGTTGTAAAAAACCCTTCTGGATTCACAGAAGAAGGATTAGGAGGGAGCTGAAGAAAAGCACGTACCGGAGCAGGAGAAAGTCGGCCCTTGAAGTTCTCTGGTTCTGTAGAAATCAAAACCATTGAAAGAGAGTTAATCCCCCTGTGGGGTATGAAGATGACCAGCAAGATCACTTTAATCCTGCTAATCTGTTATACTCTTACCTCTGTACCTCCCATGCACCCCCAATGACTGCCTACATTCCATTGTTCTACTGTTTAACAATGTACAGTGTTATTGGAAATGTTGTATATTCCCTTACAAAGGGCTCCACAGATATTTCATTAATATACTGTACACAACATTATTACAATATGCCAGACAAGTGAAAACCTCTATTTGGCATTCTAGGTGACCTGATCACCAGACATCTGGCAGAAACGCAGCAGTATATTCCAGGTGTTAACAAAAAACAAGACTTGCCACTATGTGGGATACTAGTAAGGCAGGTGCACAGATTCTAATGATAATATTCATACAGTTTCATTCTGAGTAATTTCACAATGAAACAGTGAAAGGGTGGTTTTAAATAATCTGCAGAGGCTGAGCAAGATGTAACATGCCAGTGATGCGTTCAGTCTTTCACAACAGGAAAGACTTTTATTCATTTGTAATACAAACTTGACCCCACTATTAGCAAGTGAAAGCTATATAGCTAAATCGATTTGATAGAATTTACTATACTTAAAAAAAATCTTTAACCTGATACCCAATCCAGCACCAAGATTCTGACCCATAGGAGATGCGCACTGGTGCCCACTCTCTGGCAAACCCCTCACAAACGCAGTGGAGGTGCACAAGTTTGGTATGAGTACTCCCGAGCCAATCGAAAAGGTGCTCAAACACACTTCGTTCTCAATGTGACATGGCTTCACCTTCCACAGTACTCATCCAATGAAAAAAACATACCACAGTATGTGGCATTTTACAGCCACAAGTCGGAATGGGCAGTTTCAGTTTTCTCTTTTGATATATATTTTTTAATTGCTATTTGAATGTTTAGCTATTTGCTATTTACTGTTCAAAATAACCAACTGTGTGTGTTTCACAACTCGGCCCATGACTACGAACTCCAGGAGCACACACAGGTTAGAATGAGGCAGTGCAGAGTAAATGTGGAGGGTCCTCTTTCCTGCCCGCCTTTAAGCCTTAACACGTCGCAGGTGCCACGGCCGTGTACCTTAGGTTCAGTTCCAAGGAAGACTGGCATCCTTCTCTAACAGTACTTCATGTATACCAGCGCTTGGGAGGCCATAGGGGTCACCGAGAACGGAGACCACCCCGGTGCTGTAACCCCCTCTATAATCCCACCTGGATGATGTAACAGCGGCTATAGTACATCAGAACGCTCACCACACACCAGCTATCAGTGGGGAGGAGAAAAGAGTAATTCACAGAGGGGGATTATTAGCAGGCCATGATTGGTAAGGGCACTGGAAATTTTGCCAGGATGCCGGAGTTACACCCCTTCTCTTTTTGAGAAACACCCTGGGATGAGCACAGAGAGTGAGGACTTCAGTTTGACATTCCACCCAAAAGACAACACCTTTTTATAATATAGTGTCTCTGTCACTATACTGGGGCATTAGGACCCACATAAACCCCAGGGTGAGCGCCCCCTGCTGGCCCCACTAACACCTCTTCCAGCAGCAACTTTAGTTTTTCCCCAGGAGGTCTCCCATCCAGGTACTGACTAGGCTCAAACCTGCTTAGTTTCAGTGGGTTTCCGGTTGTGAGTTGCAGGGTGATATAGCTGCTGGCCATATCTGCTGGCCGTGTGAGCTGGCCAGTAATCTTGCTTTGGGAGAAGCTATGGTTTTGGTTTGTTCAAAGGCACTATGAAAGTCACAGGTCAGTACAAAGGACCAACTCACCTGGTGTTTTTTTTAATCAGACAGTAACTGGTGTTTTTAACACTTAAATGAGTGGTCTTCACCATTCAACTGAGTGCTGATATAAAAATAAAAACATTTACTGTACTTTTTTATCAGTAAGCTGTAAAACTGAATTGCTTTCCTTTCCTAACAGTACTTCCAGGTGGGGGGTGTGCATTTAGTTTCCCCATATTCCACTCACATCACTCCAAATTGCTGCTGTTTAATACAAAGACAATCATCTGGCACATTAAGCACACGATATTTCCAGAAATCTCATTGAGTATGGTGAATCATTAAATTGGTCCCTTCTGAAACATGTAATATGCCTGGAATTCCCCCAAATTAATCTTCATCTTGAACCATCACAAGCTCCTATTTATTAATATTGTTTATGTTTACTTTCACATTGTTACTCATTTAGTTTTTATCTTGTAAAATGTCATTTTTACAGGAAGCCCAGGCCCCTTGCAAAGCTGAATGAAAATGTCCCCCTTCTCCTCCTGTGCCTAAGATCTGTAAGGGGAAGATGACTGAAATACAGCTCCCAAAGTTCATTTCTGTTTCTTGTCCAACTATACAAGACGATTAACAGTCTTGGAATCCCAGACGAGTTGGTTGTTCGAACAATCAGATGAACTTGGAAAGGTCTTTCTTACACTTTCCCAGACCATAATTAACCTGCAGGCTCCGGGATCTCACTGGGTAAAGGTACCTCTGCAAATGTGTGTGTGTGCGCGCACACCAGTGCGGCCCAGTGCACACAGGGCCATTCCCCAGCTGCCAGCCATTCCCCCTCTGTGACTGCAGTCCCAGTTTAGAGTGCTGACTGAGCGGGGAGCAGCACACTGACTCACTGTCACACTGACCGCCTGGACCCCAGCCCAAGAGCAGACGAGGCAGGGCCATTCACAGCACAGCTGCAGACTTGACACACACGGCACCCTCTCATCTCCAAGCTTTGTACTCTCACGCCTCCTTCCAATCATGACCTGCAATCAATACTAATGTCTTCAAAGAAAATTAACATTTGGTTTGGACCAACAAATCAGTTCTAAAAACCTCAGATGTGTTAAAAAATGCTTTCAGTTTGGCCAGTTGTATTACTTCCTCTCTTTACTTCTCTGGTACTGGTCCAAATAGCCTATACTGTACTAGCACAAGAAGAGCCAATCTGCAACGTCAAGCTTCCGGACACTTTTCACATTACACTCCCACCAAGAGAGCTCCTGAGCCCAATGGTGAAACAGAACAACGAGACTACAAGCACCCAACAGGCCGCGGGGTCGAGTGCGGTAAGAATTACCCATTCTAATTTTAAACACACCGAGAGGGCAGTACCTGGACACAAGATGGTGGTTCTTGTTGAACCACATTCCCCACTGACCTGCCATCCTCAGTCACCTGACCAGATAGAGGAATATGATTGGTCAGGTGACACTTAAAACCAGGAAGCAAATTATATCAACCTCTACAGGCTGAGGGGTGAGCAAGAACCTTTGTTAGATGCTGCACCTGACAGAACAGACTGACTGACAAACCCAGGGGAACTGATAGCGTGAGTTTATGGAAGAGTCTCTGAGACAAACCTAGTTTTGTAGCCAGTAAGCAGCTTAGCTGCAACAGCTATTATTAGAGAGGGACTATGGAAGATTGGGTTAGCAGCTCAAAGAGAAGCTTATGGTTGTTCTATATTTTAGATATTATTTTCTGTGCACTGTTAAGATAAACATGATTTTGTATCGTATGGTTATCGCTTGGTGTCCGTTTTTCCTGAGACCCACCTATTTCAATACCTCGTTACAACACTCCCCCTTAAGGGCACTCAGCCAATGTCTTTTATGCTGCTGGGCAAAGCCTAATCAGGAGTGAAAGTGTGATCTTCAGGCAAAAGGATAAAACCTGCCCTCTAAACAGGCAAAGACACAGGTGGAGCCTCTCAGGAGCCCCACATCTCCTTTGTTACCTCAAAGTGCTACTGAATCAATTCAAACAGCCATCACATTCACATTCACAGCCTGCACTATCCCATGAAACTCAAGCCAGATATCTGATTGAGTGCTCTGTGGCACCATAACTGACAGTCCAAGGCGGGAACTCATCTGGAAACAGAAGTGGAATTCAAAGACGAGGACTGGTCCCAGACCTGGCAGTCAGCTCAGACTCTCAGTCTGGAGTGTGTGCCGAGATGAAGATCTTTGCCTCTTTTCCAAGCTGGAAGCAGCAGCAGCACAAGGAAACATATTGCCAAGTACACTGTGAACTTTTACCTTAGCGCCTTTGCATAGACTAAATGCGGAGATAATAGGAGTAAGTATTCTTGTGCTTATTTCTTCAAAGAAAAGACTTAAGCAAGAGTCTACATCTGGCAAAAACTGAAACATCTCAAACGGAGTCTGAGCACTATCCCCCTGCCAAAGTTTGACCACGGGCACTCTAGTGGGAGGAGATTCACCAGGAAAGTCAGAAGCTTCTATTACAATTTTACTGCTCCTCTGAAAGCCGTTTCTCCTTAATTTCTCCCCTTAATTTCAGCCCTTAATACAGCTGATGACGTGACAAGGACTCACAGCTGCCCTCCGTGGTTTTCTCTTTTTTCCCCCTGGTTTTCCCACATGACGGATACAAGCCCAGTGTGTGTAGTAGGACATGGTTGTTCGGAGAAAAGTGCGTCTTTGAGAAAAACTGGAAGAGGAAGCAGTTATTGTATTAAAACACAGGAACTTACCAACCCTACTCCCCCCCCCTTTTTCCTCTCACTTTAGTTGATTCAAAGTCCTTCACTGGCATGACCAGTGAATTCCAGTATAGCCAAAGCCCAGCAGTCAACACTGAACTGCAATTCATTACAGCTACTCAGGAAGACTGGACCACAAGGAGAAAATAAAATCCATAAAAACACACAACAGGAAAAGTTATTTTCACATAACACAAAAGCACACTAATCAGAAACAGGTTCTACACTCCACAGGTGACTCCTTTTCTTTCTTGCTTCTTCTAATTTCCAGTTTCTCTTCCTTGTCTGTAGATCACAGATACAAAAGGTCTTTTATTGCCACAACAGTTACAGCTCCGTCTTCTCTCTTCTGTCCTCCCCTCTTACTCACTCCTACACTTCTGCGCTCCATCTCCCCATCAAAACACCAGCACCGTACTTTCACGAGACTACAGCTGAAAGCAAAACAGAACCTAGAAGTACAAATGACCTCCTACAAAAACTTAAGTGAAAATCAGGAAAATGTAAAAATGGCTGCCAAGCAACTAATGAGCATTAAATCTGAAAGAATGAAAATCCTTGAGCTCTCTCTCCCCTGCTCTTTAGTCTCTGCTCTACTCCCTCCCACTCTGTGACATCCTCTCCACCGACTGCGGGTCCAGCTATGCTTATCTGATGGAGGAAAGACAAATGAGACTTGGAGAAAACCCCAACCGCAGCAGCTCCGGACTGAGGGAAACAGTTTACTTTCTTTTCATGTGGAAATGAAAACGGTGTCCTATGGAGAAAAAGAGGTTGAGAGTTGTGAGATTTTAATGTATCTTGCACTGAATAAGTTTACTTACTTATTCAGTTTAATTATTACTGAACACTAAAAATGACGGGGCTCAGTCGGCAGAGTCCCAGCTGTTAGACTGTGCTGACACCCCCACCCCCACCCTCCATACACACGACTGACAGAGACTTACACATCTGGTGCAGAAAGGGATTAGCCCCCCCCACCCCATCTCTCTCTGCCACCTCCTCTCACTCTGTTTTCCCTCTATATGTCACCCTCCGTCCTCTCATCTCTCAGACACACACACTTCCCTTGCGGTCTTCAACCCTATGATTATTGCCAAAGCACACTGCAGCCCCTGTACCAGACAGCGCAAACACTGCACTGTTACACAACACACACAGCACTGGCTGAAGATCTGGGCCAGGAGACAGAATGAAAGCTGTGCTACTGGCCATGAACTGCAACGCATTAAGAACTTTCTGGAAAACTTAACATATACAAATAAAAGTAAATGAAATACAGATTGGGGGGAAAAAAAGTTTTCAACATGAAAAGTGAGGTTAGTCTGGGGAAGGGGAACATAACAGGCCTCTTGTATCCAGCTGTCCCTCTAATCTCTCCCTTGTACAGTTTCATACATCTATTTAATCAATTACAGGGGCCAGGGGAGCACAGTCAGACCAACGACACAAGGCAGGGTGACGAATATGTCAAGAGAAGGCCGTGTGCGCGAGGCCAGGGACGCCGACCAGTGCCATCGGCCATGTGAGTAAATCTGGTAATCTTGTTTTTCCATATATTTTTTTAAATGGGCACACTACAATCTTTGATATGAATCCTCATTCATGAGGATAAGAAGAAAAAAAGACATCACTTAGGTAATTTTATATCATTAAATAAAATCACACTTTTAATTTGGAAATTAAAGTCTTTATAATACTTGAAACATTATCACCAAAATTAAAATTAACCTTAGTCACTATTTTATACTTAACCATTACATTGGGGTAATTTTACACAATGTCCAGGACATGATTGGTGAATTCTACCCCAGACTACACAGGGCCTTAAGTTCTGAGCTCTGGTGCATGGTGTTATTTTCATGCACTTAACAAAAAGAGTGTAACACAAGACAGCTATGCAATGTATTATTTACACCATCCAGTGACAGGAGGAGAATTCCTTATCATTCTCTCAGATCTGCTGCCCAGCGTGTTCTCACTGCCCCAGTCCCTAAAAAAAGACCTTTAGGTGATACGTACAGTCCCAAATTACAGACTTCTTCCTCAGCAAATCTGAGTCACCACATCCTTTTTGAAAACGTATTTTAACATCTTACTGTTTTTACCTTTAACTACTCTGGAGCTATGCTTTACTGAATTTGTATTAAATTGAAGTGCTTTAAAAATAACTTAAAAATAAGCAAATGTACCATCCTGTGAAGACAATCTGTCTGTAGTCTTGAGACAGGATAGGTGAGTTAACAAGCAATCTCTTTCATAAATACAAACTCAACAGTTAAAATCCTTTGAAGAAGGGTAATCAAAGTCACCCCGAACTAGACACTGCCATGTCTCATCTTAAAAGATGTCTTCTTTTTTTTTAATCTGACCCTTTGACTTGATACAGCATTTTATTTTAGTGATACCAGTGATTCTAACTTGGCTGTTTCCGAATATGGGAAAAGCTTGGGTCACATTATATAACCTGTCTAGCAGTTCAACACAACAGGCAACCTAAAAGAGAAACGGAGCAACACCACACGGTGCTCACAGGAGGACAAAACAAATAAATCAATAAACCAGATGGAACAGGGCCAATACACAGATTACATCTCAAAATGCGCAGAACAGGCTGAAATCCCTTGACATGCAACTGAATTATCGCCAAAGCGACCAACCTAACCCATCAGATAATCATAGGGACAAACATAACACAGCACTGCCAACAGAGAGAAGGAAAACATCTTTTCCAGCTCCAATTTACATAACCCTTTAATAACTAACCTTTTATGACACAGGAAACTGAAACTGACCTTCAAGGTGTGTCCACTGACTACAGGCATACTCTTCTAGCAGACTATCATCTATCATACAAGTCTTAGTCTATCAGCACCACAGGAGAACAATTCCAAAAACAGCCTAATTAAGGGTGTTATATCCACAGTGTAAGATCCCAGACAAACAAGAACAGCACCGGTGTCGTTACAAAAGTAAGGCCTAGCGACCACCAGGCAGCCACACCACGATACTATCAACCAAACTGCTAACACCACCACGCACGGACATCAGGCTCTCACTTCACAGCATTCCGATTTAATTCAGGCCCTACCTGAAGCCTGTTATAATAATAATAATAATAATAAAAACTTTAATTTAGATAGTGCCTTTAAAGGTGGTTTCTCAAAACACTAAAACAACAATAAAAACATACATATGATATGCACAATGAAAATACACAATGGGAGGAGACAATGGATGGGGATACTGAATACAATAGGAGCAGAGGGGTAAATAACAGAGCCAGTTAAGTAAAGGTCCTTCTAAACAAGAAGGTTTTGAGTCTAGTGTCTAGTTATACATGCACAATCAACAAAAAACAATAAACTAAAACAAGACACATAAAAAAGCAACATATTCTATTGATTTCAATAATTTACAATAGGACATAATATGTGCTGTTATACTGATATTTTCCAGCATTTATATAGAGTTTTCAATCCCAAAGCATTTTACATGTAGGAGGGGGCTCAAATCAGTCACCAGGACCTGCCTGGTGATGCACATTAGCCATTCTGTACCAACTGCCCCGATCAGGGGCAGAAGTGAAAAACCGCTACACCAATCAAATACGAGGAAACCTTTGGGAAGGCCAGACTGCACAAGCACAGAGTGGAATTTAGTTAGGATACCCCAACTCTTACGAACAATGCTAAGGAATTTCTAAACAATTAGTCAAACCTCAGTCTGATGTCTTATCCAAATGACAGTAACACCTACAGTACAATATCTCTGGTCATCATACTGGGGAACCAGGTTTGTAAAATTGGGTTCAGAAAGAAGAACACCTCCTACTGGTCCACTAAAATCAATTACAGCAGCCATCTGCACATTGCAGTTTCTCCACGTCACCAAGTCTTGCATACCCAAAGAACATGGTGATATGCTGGGCTGGCATTATAAATGGAGAAAATGACACATTAGTGTAAATCCACACCAGAGCTTTCAAGAGGAGAGGCTAGTAATAAATAAATAACGAGGTTGTCAAGCTACACAGGACAACTGTACTTTGACAAGCACAAGGACATTATACAGTATATCAAGGTCTGTTGCCTTAAACATTCCACCGAGTGGTAATGACTCAATACACAGCTGGTGAAGTCCAGGGGATTCCAGTCCTCCTGAGCACATTTATAAAAAAACAGCTTTACTGTGTGGTTCATTAGGTCTTTGGTAGGGCAGTCTGAGCATGCTTGCATTTCCTACCAAGTACTGTAGGATCACAGAACTACAACCCCACTTACACTCATCAGCCCATGAAAGTTCTGCTGGTCTCGGCCAAGCCCACCTCCTCCCGGCCCATGGGTCAGACTCGAAAGGGGAATTCACAGTGTTTAACCCCCACTGCGGCTACCCAAACACATTGCACTAGATCCAAGCGCTTACTGCGCCGCTAGCAGAATTACTGTAACTCGAACGGGCACCTACCACTCTGCACAGTTCTCCAGCCTGACTGCTGACTCCTGACTGCAGCAGTAATCTGTTGGAGGGATTGGACAGTAATCCTATTGGAGACAGAGAGACTGCGAGAGCTTCCTCTAATAACACCCTTAATCCCTCCTCCTCTTCTTTCTACTATTATTATTACTGCAGAAAGTAGAACTGCTTTTTATTATTCGACGCATTTTTGTCATAGTTAATCATGATCAAGAGGGGGCAACATGTTCAAGAGGTGTGCTTATGAGAAACGTACTCATCCGTAGAGATCGACAGCAAACGTGCAACAGCACATTGCATTTCAGCTAATACAGTACAGTGGGGTCCTATTCAGTGCAGTATAATAGCTACAAATGAATACAGCATCGTGAGTGTCCAGCTACCCCACCCACCGACAGTCCGTTTGTCTTGGGAGTAAAGTCCAGTAAAGAAAAGTGACTTACACCGCAGCGACAATAATCTTGGCAGTGCATTCTTTGAAATAAAATATTCCTGAAATACTGAGACCCCTAACTTTTTGAACATGTTTATTCTTCTTGTGGACCCGCATTTCCTAATGTAACAGCACTGCTACTAATTTATTTTCAATAAAACTCAACCAATGTGTTCCTGACTAAGACGTTTCATGATGGGGAATACCGAATGTATTCGGTAGTTACGCAGCAGTCTGTCAGTGCTTACAGAGACGCTGCAGGAGGTAGCGCACTGCACCGAGGCGCTGCAGTTCAATCTCTGCCTTGGCACTCGCGACTCAGACTGGCAAAAGTAAGAAGGACACACCATGCAGATCACCTAGGCAATCCACAAATAAACATCAGTAATCTACACTAACACGCACGAATAATAGTGGCACAGACTGGCACGATACGAGTTCACGGCCATATGGCCCCTGCGCATTGCACAAGTACGGATTTGCGAACTCATCCAGCACTGTGTAGCTAGACACAAGTGTCCAAGCTCAGAGACAGGCACCCCTATCACACCTCAGGGTGCAACACTAACCCAGCGTCTATCGATTCTTGGTAAATGCTCCAGTTTGCTCGACTCACTCACCGTTAGCCGTGTGTTTCACTCAGTTTGTTTGAGGTCTTTTCTGCGGTCTCTTCTCCGCGTTGGTCCGCCCTCCTAGTAACAGTTCTTCGTACTCTGCACATCCACGCCTCTCCCTGCACACTACTGACCAATCGCACAGCAGGAGAACTGAGTGACTTCCCTTCTGTCCAATTAGATTGCAGACTTGGTAAAAGCGACGGCGCTTTACACCAATCAGTGAATGGAATAGGGTCCTAAACAACGCCTTTTTGCAATCACGCTGTTGACCTCAGCGCCCAGAGAATTTCATCCTTGATGGATATCCCTCATATCCAATTAAAAGGTTTAACTCCTTTTAGGGGACTTAAAATGGGTCCAATCAGTGTAACAATCACCACGCATAAAATGCCCGTTTGTCGCCCACTATGATGTTATTACGAGACAGCCAATGAGCGGCAGGTCTACCGCCTAAAAAATGAGCTTTCTGACCAATCGGAAAGCGGAGAAAAGGACGCTGGGGCGGAAATGCATGGAACCAGATTTCCAAAATTCACACGTACTGTATCAAGTTGAGGTTACCCCCTTCGCAGTTTAGAAAATGCGAATCGAGTGTTTAGGAAGCACAAGTTAATGATATCAATATTAAGCTGCACTAAGACTCTTATTAAGAGTTACAATCACTGGACAGAAATTACCTTGAATAGTTCTTATAAAACCACTGCATATCATATTCTGTCAAACGCTAAATAATAATAATAATTAATAATAATAATTGCTTACACTTATATAGCGCTTTTCTGGACACTCCACTCAAAGCGCTTTACAGGTAATGGGGTCTCCCCTCCACCACCACCAATGTGCAGCATCCACCTGGATGATGCGACGGCAGCCATAGTGCGCCAGAACGCTCACCACACATCAGCTATCAGTGGGGAGGAGAGCAGAGTAATGTAGCCAATTCATAGAGGGGGATTATTAGGAGGCCATGATGGGGTAAAGGCCAGGGGGGAAATTTGGCCAGGACACCGGGGTTACACCCCTACTCTTTTTCGAGAAGGGGTGTAACCCCGGTGTCCTGGCCAAATTTCCCCCCTGGGAAATTTCCCCCCTGGGAAATTTCCCCCTAGGGGTGTAAGAAAATGCACCTTTTTTTCTTCAACACGTGGGAATAAGCGATGGCTTATGGGTTCTGAAATGTGAAAACATGCCGCCTGCAGATGGAACCGAAGAAGAGACGTGATTTGAACTTTGTTACACTTTATGAGTGATTTAAGATGCACTTTATAGGACACCGCATTATGAACTGTCATTTAAAGATATTTACTGTACACACAGTAGTGAAGCACAATCGGCTCTATGGATAACGGGACATAGGTAACAGCTAATCTTTTGCTGATGACTACATATAAACAGACAGAAAAGGATATGTAAAAATGCTCAACTGCCCCTCACAAATATACTGTAGCATTGAGCTCCCAAATGCTTAAATCTCAAAAAACAAACGTAAAAATCTGAATAAAAAATTCAAATAAGAAATCAGGCAAACTATAGTATATGTATGAATTGGCTTGATCACTCTGTTCTCCTCCCCACTGATAGCTGATGTGGGGTGAGCGTTCTGGCGCACTATGGTTGCTGTCGCATTATCCAGGTTGGTGCTGCACATTGGTGGTGGTGGAGGGGAGTCCCATTATTTCTAAAGCACTCTTAGTGGAGTGTCCAGAAAGGCGCTGTATAAGTGTAAGGAATTATACTGACTAGCTGAAAAAATTGGCAATTGGCAATTGACCCTTATAGCCTGATCAACCCCCCCAACCCAAATAGTGTTTGTCGCTTCAGACCAAGATGTAAAATACACACCAGCTATCCCATTACTGCACTTCACATGAACAGTCCCACAGAAATGGTGTTACATGTGAACTCACACATTTTCTGTTGATCAGGGCTGACAGCATCTGTTGCACAAAGAAATCCTAGCAATGGCTATAAAAACATGATTGTCCACAAAAGAAAGTACAGCGAAGGAAACTACATCAAGCCTCTACATTTAATAATAAAGCTTTAAGTGCAGTTTGTATGTTGATCCACTACAACAAGAAGATGAATCTTTCTGCTCTGGGTCAAGAGATCATTGGAAAGGTTACAATCAGTAATAGTAGTATAGGTTGCTGATTAAAGAGGACATCCATTCATCTACTGTATTTTCTAACCAATGTATCCAATATAGGGTCATGGAGTTACTGGAGTCTTTCCCAGCAGGCAACCAGCACAAGGTGGGATACGCCTTGGATAAGATACCAGTCCATCACAGGGCACACACTCAAACCAGTTCCAGAAGCCAATTAACCTATTAGTTATACAGACATACTGTATGTCTTTGGATTTTGGGAGGAAACCAGATCACCTGGAGGAAACCCACATGAACACAGGGAAACATACAAACTCCATACAGACAGCACACCTGGTCCAAAATTAAACCAAGAGCCCCAATGCTAACCACTGCACCTCCATGCTACCCTACAGAAAAATGTGAGAGGAATTCCATCAAAACAAGGTGAGTGTGAAAGGTAATCTCCCCATGATAGGGGGCTCTTTCAATCTATTTCCCTAAAATAGGGCGCACATTAGTTGTATTTCTCCTTAGCATGGGAGCAATTTGAAGGCATTATCTTGACTTGCACGATGCCCTGTAAGCATTTTCTCAATACAGGTACTGTATTCTCCCAAATTAAAGGTTGCATTAGAGACATTCCTTGATTTAGGGGGCATGTTAAATGCATTCCCCTGAGTTATAGAGCACTTTAGGGCATTCCCCAAAATTAAAATGCATCTTTTATTTTTTACAGAAATACTCCAATTATCAGAATAACGTATTGTCTTAAGCTCCTGAAACACAAAGGGGTTTCAATTGCATCCACTCTCATACTGTCACGCTCATTACACCTAGAGGGAGCTCTACGTTCCTTCTGTTCATAGTTCCCTGTGATTATTCATGTCTTTCTGGTGTGTCTTGTTGTGTAGCCTATTTATTTCCTGCTTCTGCGCTGCTACTCGCTCAGCATTGTTGTTCAGTTGTCCTGAGGCCTGCTTAGCATCAGGTCACTCCTGGCCTTGTCCTGAGGGCGTAGGTGTCTATACGGCTTCTCCTGAACAGCTGAGCCCGGGCTAACCTCCGTCTCGCTGATACGCATAGGGTCTTTATCGCTCTCTTGCCATTCCACGGTTCGTCCTGTCGGACTTACGTGACATGTACGGTAATAATCACCTCCATGTTTAGTTCTGTACTGAATTGTGGTTCCCCTAACAAAACACATGCACAGACCGTGACATATAATTATGCACGGAATCAGGTTTGCATTCTAGCCGGGACAAAACGGCCATGGAGACATCTCTTGACTCATCACAGGTTTAGGAGCTAGGGGCAGAGGTTGGGTATTTTGGGTATCTTTATGGTGAGTGTATCTGTGTCTGTGTACTCTGGCAAGGATAGGATTTATAGAAGACCAGTTTCTCCAAAATTGTTAGAGGATCACTGAGTAGAGTAAAGAAGTTTATTGCCATATGTATGTACCTGTACATTGGAATTCTTATTCATGCTAATTTCTTGGGACATCCACGGTACAGCTCATGACACAGTACAACAGACAACACCCACAATGTAGACAATACATTACAAATATAATAAATAAATAATAACAACAACAGAACAATAAACATATAGTACCGAAAACAACACGGTAGTCCATTAAAAAAGTGCGTGGTACAGATGTGCATTGAGTCTGAGGCATTGCAGTTGCTGTTAAGGATGTGTACCGAATTAGGGTAGAAATTCCCCGAAGAAACTGGAAATTGATGTGTGTCTTTGTCCAATATTGAGTCTTTTCTCTTTCATACTTTTTTCTGTTCACAAGAGCACTGCGTAAACTTTTTTGTCAGGCCTATATTTTCTTCTGTTACCACCCTTGGAGGTACTGCCAGCTGGATTTGTCACTTAGCCCGAAGGGACATTAGCCAACACTCATTCTGCCTGATGTCAGGATGATAATTGCTTGAAGTCAGAAAATGGTTCATTTGACATGCAAATCTGTTAAGTGTTTTAAAAAACTATGTGATTAAATTGAAAAATCTGGCAAAGAAATGGCTGTTATCTTGTCCATATAAATAGATTGTGAAACCATTGTAACAACAAAGCAATAAACCTACAGTAAATGATTCTCAGCTTGTTTCAGGATAAATACATGTAATTCAATGCATTATTCTACATACAGTACAGACCAGCAGGTCATTACGTAATAAGGAAGACATGATTTTTAAATTAAAAAAAGAAATTAAATCACAGGAAAATGATATCCTTGATATTCTCTCTTTGATTTTCTCCATCTCAGACAATGACGCAAATGGATCTCTTCTTCTCCCAGTGGCCAGCTGAGTCAGGTGGAGCTTGATATTTGCTAGTACCTCTAAAGATTGACAAAAGACTGCAGCTAACAAGCATCATTTAATGTAATCCCTCTTCCAGCCTCAAGATAATTTATTATTCCCCATTTCTAATTTTGTAAAGTAGAAAAAGCCTTCTCATTAAACCAAAAGTACTACTTACCTAGTAAAAGGTTAATTCACATGAATGCACAGTGTATAGTTTATTTTAACCTGCATTGCTTATGCATTGTTCATTTTATCCTGAGAAAGTGTACTGTATAATGGTACAGATCTTCTAAAAAGCTAAGAAACATAGACAGTACTGAGACTGCAGTTTTATAGGGGGAAATCTTTTATTCTATCATGTTACACATTAACAGTTGAATTTAATTCCAAACAGCTCCTATAAGTCTTTAATGAATTTGTAAAATAAAACAGCATTTCATGTAAATGTCTAAATCTATTTATCTTACAAAAATCTACAGTTCTCTCCAGATTAAAATGTTTTACTTAAGTAAAGTGTTGGTGTTACTTGGAGTTTGTGGAACAGAAGGTGGTACTCTTCATTTTGTACAAGAATCTGGAAATGTGAGACCCCTATTTTTGGCAAAAGGATCAAGTTTGTATTTCACATACTTCAAAATAGCTAAATTTTAAAAATCAGGGAACATCCTTATGTTATTTCAAAAAACATATTGATAAAAACTGTACAAAATAATAAATTAGAAGGTATGTTAGCAACAGTGGCTACAACCTCTTAAATGCTATGCCTTACAGACAGAAATTACTCCAATCTAAAACCAATTAACCTCTTTCCCCTACATCTACTGACACACTGTTTTATACTACAAC